AAGTCAAGGTCAAAATCATTTACAATCAGACCAGGAACGCACTTTTGAACGCCAACAAAAATTTTCAAGTGAAGCATGCTCACTCCAAGGTTCCCATGGAGAAGAACGAGTAAGAAACTCCATAGGTTACTTATTTCAATAAGGTTCACAATACAATTCTCTAGTTACATAGTTTTGTTGGTTCGATCGTGCGAGAACAATGTAACACCAAAATTCAGTCAAAGAGGTCGAATTTTATAACAATCTTTCTGTTTTGTCCTGTGTTTAATCAAATTTCATTCGATTTAGTCCAGTACTTTTTATAACAAAGTGATATTGTATCAAAAATTGAAAAATACTATCAAATTCCAAAAAAACTAAAGTATTTTTTAATGATACTCTTAAGTTGAAGATCTTTACACCACTGTAAACGATTATTCTGATCATGGGTTTTGCTTATTATTACAGACTGGCACTAGTTAAGTAAACATTGTGTAACAAGAGTATTTTACCGTACTCTATTAGTGTTATAGGTTATAGATTACGCTTACATGTTATATAGAGGACAATAATCTATCTTAGTGTTTCGATTGGCAACCTCACGTACGACTTACGCATGTAATTGTAATGTAGGCAGAGGATTGATCCACCACAGATGGGGTTCAACAGGGCTAATACCGATACGGAGCCGCGAAAGACTAAACGGGTGGCCGGGACTCCGGCTCGAAGTGCAGGAGTAGGAACGGGGTGGTTTTTAGTCAGTAAGAGTCTGACACTCCCTCTCGCCTCACCCTGGCGGGAGAAGTCATTGGATGATTTTTTCCCCCTCAAAAAAAGGAAGAGGATGAAAAAAAGAGGCAGAGGATTGATTTTTAAATGTAACATTTACTTTTTGTCAATGAGCATGTGTTGTGAGTCATGTAATAGAATGTCAATTGTGTACCGGACATAAATCCAATCTGCGCTGTGTACCTATTACTGACAACTTAGATATCGTTAATATTAATCCTAAGTTATTGATTGTTGAGGCTAAGAATTAAACTCAAGACGCATTGGCTAACAGTTGTACTTGCAACTACTCGTACAACGAGACAGTAACTACTTTAATTTTAGAACATTAGCCTATGGTAATCCTTAGTACATTAGCTACCTGCCAATAAAAGTCTTACAAAATCGATCCAGCTATTCCAGAGATTAGCCAGTACAAACAGACAGACAAAAAAGTAAAAATTGGTTATTTTAATATCACAAACAGACACTCCTATTTTATTTTTCTGAAAGAAAAAAGAAGGAAGAATGAAAAAGCATTTATTTGACAGCATGCAGATCCAAATATAATAAAAAATAATACAGAATCAAAAAAAGAAATGAAAGAAGATATACTGATACTTATATGGGTAATACAAAACAATCTGTATATTTTGCTTAACCGTCACCACACAGTTATTATCAGTCATGACATTACGTAATATTACTAATTATGTTTTCGCTTAAGAACTCAGTATCTATAAGGAAATACCACAAAGTACGTCACAATTGAATATTTCATAGAGTTTTATAGTTTATTAATATATAACAATCAACAGCCTATAAGTGGCTACTGCTGACCAAAAACCTATCTGTACACGGAGAAGGTTTGAGCATTAATCACCACGCTAGCTCAATGCGGGTGAGCGATTTTAAAATTATAACTGGTTTTATGTTTATATCCTCAGGTTTCCTCACGATGTTTTTAATTACCGTTTGTCGATTGTGTTTTAAAAATCTTAGAGAATACATACAATTCTGAAGAAGTTACATTGACAGGTTACAAAGCCGCATTCTCACGCATGTTTCGGCAGGAATCGGCAGAATCGACCGGAGTGAAATCACGTCCTCACAGAAAATCGATGTGAAATAACGCTTTTTTTTGTTTCGTCTTGTGAGTGAGGTTACCGGAGGCCCAATTACCCCCTCCCCAATCTCTCCAATCTCCGAATCCCCAACCGTCCTCAAGTTCCTAATCCCCAAAAGGCCGGTGATGCACTTGTAATGCCTCTAGTGTTTCGGATGTTTATCATATGGGCGGCGTCGATTGCCTACCATCAAGTGATCCGTCTGCTCGTTTACCAGCTTGTACCATAAAAAAATGAGAAAACTCTGACCGACGTGAAACAGTGCTTGCGTTGTGTTTTGCCGTGTGAGTGAGGTTCCCGGAAGCCCAATTACCCCCTCCTCAATCTCTCCAATCTCCGAATCCCCTAATAGTCCTCAAGTTTCTAATACTTAAAAGGGCGGTAACGCACTTATAACGCCTCTAGTGTTTCGGATGTCTATCATATGGGTGGCGCCGATTGCTTACCATCAGGTGATCCGTCTATTCATTTACCAGCTTGTACCATAAAAAATGAGAAAGCTCTGGGCCAATTAATGCGTTGGTTTTAACGCTATTTTCCTTCTGAATATTTTTGTTACTTCATATTCTAAGTTGCTATGTATAGGTTTGTAGACGGTACCTAATGGTGATTGGTATGCAGTAAAAAATTGTTATGACTTCGGCATTGGAATTATACAATTAATATGGATACTGTTCGTTTACTTTTTTAGAAGGAGTTAAAATTTTCAGTCTATATTAAGAGTGTGGAAACTGAACTCTTTTGCCGTAGAGGTATAAAAAGAGATGACTTAGAAGCTGAACAGACCCCATTTGGGGTCGCTTTAATGATAATTAACTTTAATTTTTAGTCCAAACTCATAATCTTATGATGAAAGGATAATGGTAGCTTTACAAATGTTGTAACTTCGAATTAAATTAAACCGTAACGTCATTTTTAAAGGGAAAAGCAGAGATAGACAATTAATAGAACACTTTCGATTTATGAGTTAAAACAATTGACAAGTATATAGCTTAATCATGTACAAACTCAATGTAATCTAGAACTGCCTCGTTGGCGGAGTGGTCGTAAGTGTGACTGCTGGGCAAGGGGTTCGAATTCCGGGACGGGCAAATTATTACATGGTTTTTAAAAAAAAAGTCTCATTAGTATCACGGAGTCTGGAGTTGTGCCCGGTATATGGCAATAGGCTCACCCCCTATTACATGGGACTCATAATATAAATAGTGAAAAGTGGGTGTTACTTTGTACTCTAGTGTGCACCTCTGCGTATCCCTTCGGGGATAAAAGGCCTGATGTTATGTAATGTATGTAAATTTAAAACCTAACAAAACCACGCTATATACAGCTGTATGTATAATGTATGTACAATTGTTCATAGACATTAGACGTATATAATATACGTTGACCAAAGGTCAATTCAATGTCTGGACTTCACACATAATGAGGTATTAGTCATCAGTTTTGAAGTAAATAGTTACCACCCACCGGCGTTATGCAATGAGTCGGTTTCAATATAAAAACAACCTAATTTGTACCGCTTTAGAGGCCATTATTGTTTTTCTAGAGTATCAAGAGTGAGATACATATTTTTGGAATGTATCTCTAACGTCTTGTCAATATTTTGCAAAAATTTAGAATAGACTGCACGGTTGGTGCGGTGGCCGGGCAACCAGCTGCCGTGCAATGTGTCGCGGGTTCGATTCCCGCACGGAACAACACTTTGTGTGATCCACAAATTGTTTTTTCGGGTCTGGGTGTCATTGTGTATGTGAACTTGTATGTTTGTAAACGCACCCACGACACATGAGAAAATCGTAATGTAACGTTTTTTTTAAAAAAAAAAGACACTAAACTTGATGGTTTGGATGGTTTGGTCGTGGTGGCCCGGAGGTTTAAGACGCTAGCTTCTCATGCATGAGAATCCGAACTCGAACCCGCGTTCGAAACCTACCAACGGCAAGTACCAATGTGACTTTTCCGAGTAATATGTACTTTCTAAGGTTATTTGGACACCACTGACAAACGGTGAAGGAAAACATCGTGAGGAAACCTGGGCTTATAATTTCTAATTATAAGTTTGAAATCGCCAACCCGCATTGAGCAAGCGTGGTGATTAATGCTCAAACCTTCTCCGGGTGAGAAGAGGCTTTGCTCAGCAGTGGGCATTTATAGGCTGTTGATGATGATGATGATGAAACCTGATGGTAATTGATCAGCGCCACCCAAAGATAATCTCAAGCAGACAGGATCATATCCCATGTATTGGATATGATAGGAGTTATAACTACGATGCATTTGGGCGTTGGGCCTTACTGACGCAGTGAAATAAGTTGACATTAACGCCAGTTTTCTTTGTGGTCGTGATATCACTTTGGTCAAGCCCATTTGTGCCAAAGTATGATTCTTGCACGACAGAGGCAGCAAATAATTTGAACACAATCTTAATATAGGCTCTGAAAAAGCACAACAACACTTCAGAACCTTGTCTTGTGATTTAAATGACGCATTCTCATGCGGATTTAATTAATTACAAAAGTATATTCAACATTTTAAATGTCACACAATCAAGTGTCAAAAACACAACACAAAATTAAACACGTCAATCAAATCGTTATCTAATAAGAAAACAAGAAAATTCATATTATCTAAAGCAAACGAAGGTTTGTCAACAAAATAATAATTTGTTTTAAGCGTAATAACATATTATGAGTTGTGAGTGACGCGAGAGTTGTTTAATTCTTAGGTAAATGTAACATCCTGTCGAGAATTTTATGTCACACATTATCTCGTATATTACCTATTATAAATTTTAAAGTTATTTTGTTTGGATTGTTGAATATTTAGATATTTGGATGTTTGTCTGTTTCTTCGTCAATCACGCTGAAACGAATGAACAGATTTTCATGAAATTTGGTATACAGGCAGGATAATGGGCTGACTTAGATGATACTTTTTATCCCGATTAAATGCTCCCATGGGATAAAACAACAATCACATTCTACGTGGACGAAGTCGCGGGCAACAGCTAGTGTTATATGAACATAACGTTACGTTAATGAAACGAGATTTAATTTCTCATTATTTTTAAAAGAGGTTCATCAAGTGTAGATCCCTTCATTAATCAATTCACTTTCTGTTTTCTAGGGGTATGCCTAATAGAACAGGAGAGTGACAGAAACACATCAGCTTTTGTAGTGAAGAGTTCTAGAAGAAAGTACTATGGATTGTTCCAAGTAAGTACTTCTGAAATTTTATGTGAGCCTAGTACTTAAAAGATTCTAGATATAGAATTTGTAAACGCACCTAATGGCACAAGAGAAAATTCGGGGTCACTACTCCAGAAGATTCAATACACGATTTTTGGTTGCATAAAAATAAGCCGAGTGGTCGCAAGTGCGACTGCTGGGCAAGGGGTCTCGGGTTCGATTTCTTTTCTCGATTCTCACCCGGGTCGGGCGAAGTATTACTGGGTTTATAAAAATCGCAGTAGTAGTATGGAGTCTGGAAATGTGCCCGGTATATGGCAATAGGGTAACTCCTATTACATGGGACTCATAACATAAATAGTGAAAAGTGGGTATTACATTGTACAATGGCATTAAGTGCCGTAATGTGCACCTCTGCCTATCCATTCGGGGATAAAAGGCGTGATGTTATGTTAAAAATAAGTTTGCCATCTTTTAACATTGGTAGTTTTGTTTCTGGGGATCATAACTGAGTTCTCTAGTTCCGTAGTGGCACCGTGTATTACATTAGATTAAGAATTTGATCTGTATTGACTTACATATAAGGACTTACAGTGATGGTATCCACAACTTGATTTGCATTGACTAACATTAATATTAGGAGTTAAAGTGGGCGATATCCAAAACTAGTTTAGTCACCATGTTCTAATTATAATTTCAGATAGGAAGTGAATGGTGTAAGGAAGGCAAGAAAGGTGGGAAGTGTGACATTACTTGTGAAGGTAAGTCCTGATATATTAATTCAAGTCATCATCAACAGCCTATAAATGCCCACTGCTGAGCAAAGCCTCTTCTCACACGGAGAAGGTTAGAGCATTAATCACCACGCTTGCTCAATGCGGGTTGGTGATTTCAAACTTATAATTAGAAATTATAAGTCCAGGTTTCCTCACGATGTTTTTCCTTTACCGTTTGTCAGTGGTATCTAAATAATCTTAGAAAGTACATATAACTCGGAAAAAGTCACATTGGTACTTGCCGTTGGTAGGTTTCGAACCCGCAGCCTCATGCATGAGAAGTGGGCGTCTTAAACCTCCGGGCCATCACGACATGCCATTAATTCAAGTATTCTTTGTTAACTTCTAAAATGTGGGTAGAGGCCTATGATTGCACTCTTTTATAGACACGGACAATGTTAACATTGGTGTGTGTCTGAATTGTTTATTTTGTTATGTAACAGAATTGAAGCGAATAATTATGCAGTAGAGACCAGAGTACCCACATGTAGTGTGAACCTGCCAAATTAATAATCAGCTAATTATTATATAATTTATTCTTGTAGTAATAATTATAGACTGCCGCGTTGGCCGAGTGGTCGCGACTGCCGGGCAAGGGGTCTCGGGTTCGATTCCCGCGTCGGCTGGGTTTTTAAAAAATTCTCAGTAGTAGCATGGAGTCTGGAACTGTGCCCGGTATATGGAAAAAGGCTCACCCCCTATTACATGGGACTCATAACATAAATAGTGAAAAGTGGGTGTTACATTGTACAGTGGCATAATGTGCACCTCTGCCTCCTCCTTTGGGGATAAAAGGCGTGATGTTATGTTATGTATGTATTATTATAGATGTGGTTAATGGCAGTGTCTAATTAGGTACTTTATAAATATTGATTAGACGTATTGTAAAAAAAATATGACAAGGGCACGGTCCAAAAGTCCGTGGAGAATCAATAATATGTAATATAAAAAAAAAATCTGCCAAAATGTTATTTATGTGAACCAAAGACTACTGATTTATAACTCTAGTGAAACATTATGAAATAAATTATGTGTTTAACGATTTATTAAGTAATTGTTTGACGAGCTCATATTCATAAGCAGCATTGCTCGACGTCATATACATAAATGACGTCGTGTGTCCCGCAACGCTGTTACGCACCAAAAGATTAAGCATTCATAAGTTATAAACAAATAAAATAAAATATAAAATAAATTTATTTCAGACATATTGGGTCCATACATTTACAGTTTATTATTATTAAAAGTATATATTCTTAATTAATTTAATTTAATTTATTACATTATAACACCGCATTATCAATCATTAATTTTTATTATATTGTCAATTTTTTGAAATAAACTATGTGTTTTCAATACACTTCATCATATATACTTAATTAAATAAATACTAACTATTACTAAATATATACAACTTAAGAATTTAAGATACAAAAAGATAAAAATTAATTGTCAATTGAGTTAAAAAAATATCATCACATCCAACAAATATAAAGAAGAAATGATAAACAACATTATTTTTAAAATAGTTATATAGTTTAATTATTAATATTTTTCAAGTTCAATTAAAGTCAAGTTCAAGTCGTATTATTTAATTATCGTAATCTCTCCATTTTCAGCACTACTAGACGAAGACATAAAAGACGATGGCATCTGCGCAGTGAAGGTGTTTGAGCAAGAAGGATTCAAATACTGGTCGAAATGGGAAGCCAGGTGCAAGGGACAACTATTGCCTGATATTGAAAAGTAAGACTTATTGTATGTATACTTTTAAGTGTGGGAGAGTCATGCTTCGGCACGAATGGGCCGGCTCGACCGGAGTGATACCACGTCCTCACAGAAAACCGACGTGAAGCAACGCTTGCGTTGTGTTTCGTCGTGTGAATGAGGTTACCGGAGGCCCAATTACCCTCCCCTTCCCCAACCTCCCCAATAAAAATAAAAAATCAAACGCCTGTCGATTCGCAAACATGCCCATAATGGCATACATGGTATTAAGTGACAAGTGGTCAATTAAAGTATGCTTTCGTCCTTGAAATTAGTAATTCTACGTTTATACAGAGAAGGTCGAAAGCTTGTAGTTCTACACAAATTTAGGAAACGAAGTGTGATGCAATATTTATTCATTTATTTATTTATTACTTCTTCACCAAAGATGACAGTGAATGGCGGACAGGGAATACCGGGCACATTTCCAGACTCCGTTCTACAACTAAGAATTATTCTAAATACTTTGTCCGACCCGGGAATCGAACCCGAGACCGACTTCCGACCACATGGCTAACGAGGCAGTCTTTAAAATTATGTTTTTTTGTATTCTAGTACACTTTTAAAAACTTTTAAGTAACTTATCCGCACTGCGGAAATTACTGGCAAATTCTAGTTTAAACTAAAGCAAAATAAGTAATTTTTATCATTTTTAGCAACAAAACAATGTACCTACAATAGAAAATTAAATATACAAAGAAAACTCTAGAAGCAAACCTAATATAAATAATAATTAATGAATTACATTACTGACTAATTAATACCAGTTGGTAATAAAACTCCAACAAATAGAAACGTGTACCATTCTCAAAAAGAAAAAAAAATACTACAGAAATCCTAAGTAATATCTGACGTACGCATTAGCCAATAATATTATTAGTGAATACAAATATTTATACTTCGTTTGAATATACGCAAGGTGGACCAAAAGATCAATGTTTACTTATTTGTTCTGGCAACATTAGTTTAGCGGGAGTAACAGAATGTTGCTAGTATGTACACATGTTAGTGTATCAAACAAAAAATGATGAATCGATTGTTATTCGAAATAGATTTGCGTGAGTTGTTTTTGTGTGATTTTTTATGTAGTGTAGTTACTATTTTGCGTCGTTTTATCGTAAGCATGATCGCTAAGCAAAGGGTTTCGGTAATCTATCTATATATATATAAAAGAAAGTCGTGTTAGTTACACTACTTATAACTCAAGAACGGCAGAATAGATTTGGCTAAAAATTGGTAGGGAGGATATGGGATACTTTTTACCCAATTCTTTTTTTTTTACTTTTTTACCGAAAATACGGGAACGGGAAATATCGGGATTGCGCGCACGAAGTCGCGGGCAGAAGCTAGTAGTGGATGTATGGATTGTTAAACCATACATCCCCACGCAGTCACCGGTGACCGCTCTCCACTAAGTACATTATAGACTTTATTTCCGATGTTTAGAGACTACTTTTGTATAAACAAATTTAGGGGATGAATTTCAATGGGTTAAAGCCTTTGATTGCATACAAAAGAATGTTGATAATAAATACTCCGCTGGCGTCAGACTACAAACGAAAAGGCGTCCAATGTCTTAAGCGCGAAGTCTCAAATTCACGGTCTATAATCATTATGACTAACAACGGTTTTAAGCCGGTTGTAGAGTAGATACACTACCTGTACTCTTGTCATTAGTACTAATAAGAGCTGATTATAAGAACTACAAAATAGTTAACAGAGGTTGGGTAACAGCATTGTCTGATATATCTGAACCTTATACTGCGGTCTTCAGTTCGGCAAGCATTGCGATTATGGCAAATCGTGTGTAGGATGTAAACGAAACGCTCCCGAAAAACGCCGATAGGTGATCCATAAGGAATTAAATGTTTCTTTTATGTAATAATAGTTGTAATCAACTGGTCAAGGCTGATTGGCATGAATAACACGAAAACATAACATAACATAACATCACGCCTTTTATCCCCGATGGGGTAGCCAGAGTACATTATGCCACTGTACAATGTAACACCCACTTTTCACTATTTATGTTATGAGTCCCATGTAATAGAGAGTGAGCCTATAAGCCATATATCGGGCACAATTCTAATCGATTCCGTGCTGCTACGGAGAATAAAAAAAAACCCAGTAATTCTTAGCCCGACCCGGGAATCACTTGCGATCACTCGGCCAACGAGGCAGTTAAACACAAAAAAGAAAACAAAAATGATTAAAATTGTAATAACAATTTCTTTTTGTCAGCGTTTCGGAAGTGTTCCGTTTACGTCCAGACGCCTTAGTACGAGTTGCGCGTTCGGCACTCTGATTGGCCGGCGCTAATAAACCAACCAATCAGAGCCCCGAACGCGTACTCATTTCGAATACTTTAAACGTAAAACCAACTTTTATAAAGGCCGCAGTATTGTTGACGTGGTCCATAGTCCGATACCCAGTAGTGAACTATCACGATCTGTTCATGTATGATAATTTGTTTTCCTCTATATTTATTACACATAGTACTTAGGCATAATCAGTCACGCTTCTATGCACATTGGTACAACGTAAAAACCAAAACGGTCGCGATGGTATCTCATTGAGGAAAATCATCGTCATTCATGAAATTGATGAAACCATTTACTTTGAAACTGTTGAATAAACATCGTTATTAAAATCACGTAGGATAATATACGTAGTAGGTACCTACCCATGTCACGTTTATAAGACGTGTACAAGAGAGAAATAAAACTAGGTTTAGAATTAATAAGGTATGTGGGTATATTAAAAAAAATTGAAGGGTCTGCCTAGGTCTTTAGCACTTGCTTAGTTCTCCACACTTCCCTGGCGAGCTCCCGTCCTCCAGGCGTAGTTCCGTCAGCTCGGCCACTCCACTCAGGTGCTGTGACAGGTTCGTTGTCCGGTTCGGTTATTGAAACCGTGACGTAATTCCTGGTGACAAGGGCCACATCAGTAAGCTGCCGGTATAAGGGGTGCACGGGAAACGCTAGGTATGCATGGCAAGAACCACATTGGAAAATTAGGGCTTACAAGGCGGGAAGAATTCCAGGCGTGATTCTTAATCGACACTGTAGGTAATGGTCGCTAGCAGAGGCGGTTACAAGCATATAATAAGAACATAGTGAAGGAAAAGCAAAACATTACACAAGGATAGAAATTAATAAGCTACGATAGTTAGACAGGCCCGTACCTTAAGATTGACGCAACGAATATAAAAAAAGGTAGGTAATGGCCGTTAAAATTCTTTATATAAAATTGTGCACAACTTACCCAAGTTTGGGAATCACAATCACTTACAGGTACTTAATTTAGTTTAGTAGTATGGATAAGCAATCCAGTCTCAAAATATTTTATAATTATTTATGGCTTTATAATTCGCAATGACGGTAAGTATGCTATTTATCAAAGCGACAGCGTCCGTGCCTCAAGAGGTTTGGCAGCGGAATGTCGTCTCGCTTGCGCTCGCGCCGGCTCGTCGCGCGGGGGTGGCGGGGCGCGGCGAAGAACCTGTTACTCCATATATATAAAATAATGCGGTTGTCCGCATCACTTAATTGTTACAATTTATTTTTAAGTTAATTAATATTTTTATTTTAATAATATTAGTTTTTTTTTATTACTACTAAGTAGTTACTTACACTATGTTACATTACCCCTCTCCCCAGAAAAAGGATTTCAACTTAATGAAATCCGCAAGGAGACTAATTGATAGAAACAAAATTAGTCTACGACGGGCCTACCCTGAGTTTGAGATCCTTGATATGCCAGACGCCAAGATCGCGACCATTCATGTCTTCCAAGACGTAAACTAATGGTGATCGTTTGACTTTTACGCGGCATTTTTGAAATTTAGGAGCCAACTTTTTACTAAAATGAGCATCTTTATCGCTCTGAAAGTAACAACGCTTCCAAACGATATCGCCCACATTAAACTCTGCATGTTTTCGGCGCAAGTTATAGTGTTGTGCGTTTTTTACATGAGCTTCCCATAAAGCAACCTGCACTTTATCGAATATTGGTGATAATTGGCCCAGGTTTGCAGCATAAGCGTCACGTGGTAGAAATATTAGGTTTGTTGGATCCGGATACTCGAGGTAATGAGAACCACAAACGACTAGCTCTCTTCCGTGTACCAAAAAGGATGGAGTATAACCAGTGCTTTCATTAACAGAATTATTAATAGCGAATTGGATTTGAGGAAGGTCTGAGTCCCAAGATCTATGATCCCCATCTACGAAACTGGAAACAGCAGTTATTATTGTTTTGTTGTATCTTTCTACTGTATTAATTTGTGGAGTGTACTTTGGAGTAAAATGTATGTTGGGAATTTTGTATTTTTCGAAAAGTTTATCTAAGTCTTTGCTAATAAACTGACTTCCATTATCAAGAATAACAGTTTGTGGAATTCCATGAACGAGAAAGACATCGTTCTCAAGATGTTTAACTATCAAATTCGAGGTGGCTCGACGAAGTGGGAAAAGAAAGCAATATTTAGAAAAGCAGCAAGTGACAACGAAAATAAACTGATTTTGTTTCCGGGAAGAAGGCAACGGACCAACCAAGTCAATTGATAGAACTTGGAAGGGACGAGAAACGTCTTTAGGCCTACCCATTTTTCCAGAGACACCATGGGTAGAATGTTTATGAGCTAGACATATTTCACAATTTGAAACAAATTGAACCACGCTAGAATACATACCGGGCCAATAAAATCGAAGTGCTAAGCGCTTATATGTCTTAAACACGCCGAAATGACCGGAAATAGGTTTAGAGTGGCACTCAATCAGAATATCTCCTTGTTGTTCTTTAGGAATAACCTTCTTCCAAGCAAACTCAACCGTAAGGTCTACCTTCGTCTTCATGTACCTGTATAATACATTATTCTCCACCTTGTAGTTTGGAAAATTTATAGGACTAGTCTGGCAACCCTGGAAGATCTTCCGGTACCAAGAATCCTGAGTATCAGGTACGGAAGCAGTGGAAGCATCAGCGTTTGAAATGGTCTCAACTGGCACACTTCTAGATAGGGCGTCCGGAACAACATTGTCTTTACCACGACGGTGTCTTATTTCAAAATTGAAAGAAGAAAGGCGAACTCCCCACCTTGCGAGCCGACCGGTTGGATTAGTGAGAGACATAAACCATTTAAGAGAAGAATGGTCAGTATAGACCAAAAAAGCTTTGTCGGTCTCAAGGTAACAGCGCCAGTATTCTAGCAGTAAGAACTGCAAGTGCCTCCCGTTCTGTTGTGCTGTAGTTCCTCTCCGGTTTACTCAAAGAACGGCTCATGTACGCAATTGGATGTTCCACACCATCTATTGTTTGAGCCAACATCGCACCGATACCGAAATTACTAGCATCAGTGTGCACTTCAAAAGGAAGGTTAAAGTCAGGGCAAGCAAGGACAGGTGCTTGAACTAGTTTAGTCTTTAATTCTAGGAAAGCCTTATCAGCCTCAGGGGTCCACTGAAAAGCAGGGGAGTTCTTTTTATTAGAAGTCAGCTTATTTAAAGGGCCTGCTACGGTACTGAATTGTGGAATAAAACGCCTATACCACGACGCCGTACCCAAAAAACGCTTAACCTCCTTCCTATTGACAGGAGTGGGAAAGTCTAATATGGCTTTGACTTTATCTGGGTCAGTTCTCAAGCCATGAGCATCCACTATGTAGCCAAGATACCGTAGCTGACTTCGAAAAAAGTGACACTTGTCTAGATTGACAGTGAGATTAGCCGATTGCAGTTTTTGAAAAACTTTCTGAAGCAGTTTTACGTGTTCCTCAAAAGTTTTGCTTATGATAATCACATCATCCAAGTATGCAAAGACTTTGAGTTCGAATTCAGGCCCGAATAAAAGATCGACAAGTCTCTGTTGCGTAGCAGGAGCATTGGTAAGTCCAAAAGCTGTGACCTTAAACATAAAAGTTCCTCGACCAGGAACATAAAAGGCCGTCTTCTCTCTGTCCTTTTCATCAATTAATATCTGCCAAAATGCTTTGGACAAATCTATGCTGGAAAGATAACGCGCATCCTTCAGATTATCTAAAATTTCAGACACATATGGAAGCTTATATGCGTCCTTCTTTGTTACCGCGTTCAATTTACGGCTGTCCAAGCAGAAGCGGGGCTTTCCATCCTTCTTACCCACGACTAGTACTGGAGAAGACCATGGACTCTCACAAGGTTCAATAACATCTAGTGCCAACATCTCATCAACCTGTTCAGCGACAATACGTTGCTTTTCTGGTGACATGCGGTAATATCGCTGACGGATAGGCTCAGCATTACCAGTATCTATGCGATGTTTAATGACGTTAGTACGACCTAAACCTATCTCTGTGTACGAGATGTCTTTGGCGATTCCGTGCTGCTACGGAGAATAAAAAAAAACCCAGTAATTCTTAGCCCGACCCGGGAATCACTTGCGATCACTCGGCCAACGAGGCAGTTAAACACAAAAAAGAAAACAAAAATGATTAAAATTGTAATAACAATTTCTTTTTGTCAGCGTTTCGGAAGTGTTCCGTTTACGTCCAGACGCCTTAGTACGAGTTGCGCGTTCGGCACTCTGATTGGCCGGCGCTAATAAACCAACCAATCAGAGCCCCGAACGCGTACTCATTTCGAATACTTTAAACGTAAAACCAACTTTTATAAAGGCCGCAGTATTGTTGACGTGGTCCATAGTCCGATACCCAGTAGTGAACTATCACGATCTGTTCATGTATGATAATTTGTTTTCCTCTATATTTATTACACATAGTACTTAGGCATAATCAGTCACGCTTCTATGCACATTGGTACAACGTAAAAACCAAAACGGTCGCGATGGTATCTCATTGAGGAAAATCATCGTCATTCATGAAATTGATGAAACCATTTACTTTGAAACTGTTGAATAAACATCGTTATTAAAATCACGTAGGATAATATACGTAGTAGGTACCTACCCACTATACCTGACTGTCGCGGAGAACCTAACGGGTAACCGGGGCTCCGGTTCGACGTGCAGGAGAAGGAACGGGGTGGTTTTTAGTCAGTAAGAGTCTGACACGCCTCACCCTAGTCGGGAGCCATCATTCGATGATTTCCTCCCCTTAAAAAAAACCACTATACCTGGCTGCTAATATAAATATTTTTATCTTTAGAGGCAATTGTTGTATCTAAATGGTGAGAATTTATTGTTTTGTCACCTTCGCTAAGAATAACGGTGTGGCGACGCATGCCACATGTCAACGGATGACGTCACAAGAATCCTACATCGCACATGCAAAGTTTACAAGCGAATAAACACGGATTGAAAATCCCAACGAACAACTGTTGGGCAGAAAGCCCGCCAGGCACGATCAGCTCGCCTGGTCGGAGGATCCTCCTTTCCGATCTTAGGGAACTATACTCTCTGTTCCCTAAAGTGGTGACCCCGACGTGATTGGAAGCAACCTTCACTTCACGGAGCAGATCAGCATCATCCGTATCGCCATCCCTCTCATTCATCATTTCTCCGCTGAGCGGTAATCAAGTCGCAGCCAACCAGCATCCTCGGCCTCATCAGGGACCATCATCGCCTGCAACGAAGTCGTGCAGCCTGGTTCTTCCCTACGGCCTCACCAGCGTCTAGGCACAGCACTTCTGCACATGGTTCTGAAGGACATCTCCTCCCGTCAACGCAGACGCCAGCCACTACGCACCTACCCTCGCAGCATCTATTCCCCGACTCACCGTGGGACACTGCGAGCTCATCTCTCCGACTCACTGGAGTTTAACCCTGCACCGCTCACCCGACTCACTGGGCACTCAGCGGCACAGTTCCGACTCACTGGAACTAGGGACTTTCTACACTGGTTCTGGCACCGCTCATCTCAAGCATCGACAGCCGTCTCAGCGGGATCGACCTCCGGTCTTGGGAGGGAGTGATGTGGCGACGCATGCCACATGTCAACGGATGACGTCACAAGAATCCTACATCGCACATGCAAAGTTTACAAGCGAATAAACACGAATAGAAAATCCCAACGAACAACTGTTGGGCAGAAAGCCCGCCAGGCACGATCGCCTCGCCTGGTCGGAGGATCCTCCTTTCCGATTTTAGGGAACTTTACACTCTGTTCCCTAAAACGGTTTTCCGAGAACTTATTGGTGTTTTAATTGCATGACGAATTCACTATGTTTAGTAGACACGATTTATTATTATTTATGGTCATTCCTTACTGTGATACTTGTACAATTACAAACTAGATTAGATTAGATAGACAGTAGTAGCACGGAGTCTGGAATTGTGCCCGGTATATGGCAATAGGCTCACCCCCTATTACATAAGACTCATAACATAAATACTGAAAAGTGGGTGTTACACTGTACAGTGGCATAATGTGCAGAGGTAGGTGCACCTCAGCAAGCTGCCTACTCTTTCGGGGATATAAGGTTATTCTTTTGCGCCTTATGTTATATTATGTTATTCTTTCGCGCGGTTTCACGAGCTCTTCTCAGCGCTCAATGATCGTTGGTGATGTTTGATAGCCAATAGCCTTCCTTGGCAATATACAACAGAGCCCATTGGGGTATCCAACAGAAAAAGAATTGTTCAAATAGGACCAGTAATTCCCGAGATTAGAACTTTAAAACAAACAAACAAACTCTTCAGTTTTGTTTATTAATAGTATAAAAATTTCATCCAAATCCATTCAGGTTTTGTCATGTGATTGGGTAAAAAACATCCATTCAAACTCCTGCATTCTGGAATGTTTGCTACAAATAAATCTAAAATTCACATTATTTCTACAGATGTCCAGACTGGGTGCACCCACCCAACAGAGCGTCTCCACCTCGAGACAAAAGAACAGCAAGAGGCAAGAGAAGTATCCGAAGATTTAGCAGAAGATCCATATTTCTGAGCCAACCTTTTTAGACTGTGGTTCTTAAAGTAGTTTGTTAAGGTGGATTGTGTGTGTACTTAGTCTGAATGGCGTAAAAGCCCCTAAAGAAAACGGGTCTTTTTTGTGGGTGGGAGAAATCATGGGGAGTGAGTATCAGAGTCACTAAGAGACTAACTAAAAACTACTTCGTTCCTACTGCTGCTTCCAGCCGGAGCCGCAGTAACCCGCGAGGTCGAAAAGTGTGATACTTGGAGTGTGAATGAGCTCAAACTGAAGTCTTGCCACAAATTATTGTTATAAAAAAGTCCTCAATCAGGTAGTTTCCTAAATTTTATTTTAATGTCCATCTGGTAAATTAATTTAAAACTTTAGACACGTATTTTTTCTTTTCTCACAAAATTAAATGCTTTCGACGATATATTAATTTGAAATGTCATGTGATGTCATAGCGTGCAACAAAATGTAGCACGTTGTGACGTAACTACCTCCCACTCCTAAACTTAACTCCATTTTATGTAAGTATTGTAACTTTATACGAGAAAATAAAAAAAATACGTGTCAAATATTTTGTCATTATCTGACGGACTAATTAGATTTTTAATTTACATACCTTGGAAACTACCCTATTAAAAGTTTGTTGGTAGGTAGCTGGTCTACCTTAAGTGTTCAAAGAACAAAAATCATTTGTGATAGAACTGTCACCTTTTAAATATATAAGTACAGATTCTTGTAAATCATTATGCATTTAAATAAACATTGTTGAAATTTTTTTTTTCATTTAATCTCATTTTAAGTATGTGTGTAGTTTACTAGGCTAGCATATTATACCTAGCATGACAATAATTTCCACTGCGAAAATTTAATTCTGACTAAACTAAATAATCCTTCTTTTAGGTGGCGCATATAAAACTAATCGGATATCTTTATGTAAGAAAGTAAATTGTAAAAAAAACATACTTTCTTATTCACAAACTAGGACTCGATTTAGGACGAAATCTAAAAAAATATTTGTAGTAATGCAATGTCCAGTCACACGTCACAATTACATCGTTTAGTCAACGGAGGCAGTCAGTATACTTAACTAAAATAATTGTACCCATATCAGTGTTACGTAAGCCTTAGAATTTCATTTAAACTTTAATAATTTCAGGTATCCTAGAGGCCTGTAATTTCAAGACTGTTGGATATTACCTGAATTATGTTAACTTTGTGTAATTGTAGAATTAGTTTAGATTAATTGTAGGTTGGAAAAAGGCAGAGATCTTCACCTATCTTTCGCCAGTTTTCTTATGAATCTCATAATCATAGTCCATTACCATAAAATGGTACCATACTCCTCTTAATAATATCTTCTGCTTTATTTCGTTGTGGGATCCAAGACATTCATGTCCCTGGGACGCGCCAGATTTCAGTGGTCCGGTGTTTTCATGATTATATCTATTATAGATCCTGGCTTATAGTAGTTGCAGCGGTTTCGGGAGATGGTGAAAGGGTATTTCCTCAGTATTGTAACCGAGAATTTCAATAAATCGAAAAAGACCATTAATTTAATATCCGACTTAAGAATACAACTCAGAGGCCTTAGTACGAGTTGGTTTTACGTTTAAAGTAATCGTAACGAGTACGCGTTCGGCGCTCTGATTGGTCGGCGCCAATGAACCAACCAATCAAAACGCCGAACGCCGTCTCGTTTCGAATACTTTAAACGAAAAAGAAACTCGTACTAAGGCCTCAGGATCCCTCGACAGTCGTGGTTGAGACTACTTGACCATCAAAACAATCTCTAATAACAGACATGAATAATAATATACAATTTCATAAACGATTCTACAACTCAATTTATACTACATGTAAAACTCATTTAATGGAATGAATGAACCAAAGTTATTATCGTTTAGTAATTACCGATCACGGGAATAGGGAGCTGTTTTAATTAAGGAATGTCGCGATCAAATTAATTCGATTCCGGTAATGTAACGCTATTTGGGGGCCTATGACCCCATGGTGTAGATTAGGGGCCATGTTTAGGTAGGAATTTAATGGGACCGCAAAGGTTTCTGTTGAGAATGAGAAGATGGAAGTGTGTTCTTTATTTGCGTACTAGCTTTTCTTAAGAATCTTTCTATTCATTGCTGTTATGTTGGTTGATTATTAAATTATAGTCGGGTTTGTTTTACTCGATTTTATTAACATAAAATAATGTGCAGAGCGCACGACGTATACACACCAGAGAATGACAGATAGACAGCGATTGACAAGTATCCTACCTTATTACCCTATATAATACATTATAGTGAGGGGGCCACTATTTACTAAGATAATGATGTTAATACATGCATGGAACAATAATTGCTGAATAGCTCATAGAAATCAGTACAATATAATATATAATTTTGAATCAATTGTGTGAATGGGTGTTGAACACTATTTTCGTGGGCCATTCTTTCATTTTAAGGCGGGAAAAAGTTTATGTTTAACTTTTGAAAAATTTCTCTGGCACAGAATCTAAAATTGTGCCCAGTGTATTACGGGACAATAAATTTAACCAGCTATTACTCAGCAGTCAAAATGACGTGATAAGCTATTGAAAAAAATAATTTTGTTTGTCGATTATTTATTTATTTATTTATTTATTTATACTTTATTACACACGCAGAAAATAAATAGTAAACTTTGCAATAGTAATTTGACTACAATGGGCGCACGCGGCGATTTCTTTTTTTTTGAAAAGAATCTGGGAATGGGTGGTAAATGCACAATAAAATAAAATAGAAGAAAAACAATACAACAAGGGATTTGGAATTATACCCAGTATTTAGACTTAAAGTACTAGACTGCAATATAAAACCAAGTGGTATAGTCTGTGCAACGTCAGGATATGCAAGTGCAGTGATATTATATCGAACAGTTATGTCACCAGTGCTGTGTGGGAGCACTATGTGGCACAGAGTAGCTTAAAGGAAGACAATGAAAGTAACTTTCTTAAGGGACCTATAGTTAGTGAAGATGGTTAATTATTCTTTAATACAAGAGGTTATCTTATACTTTTGTATAAAGCGGAAGAGTTTGTTTTTTTGTTTGTTTGTTTAAACGCGCTAATCTCTGTAACTACTAGTCTGATTTGAATATTTTTTTTTGTGTTGGATAGCGCATTTATCGAGGACGGCTATAGGCTATAAAACATCACGCTACGACCAATAGGAGCTGAGCCGCGCGGAAGTAGCTAGTAATCAATAATTCTTCATCCGTCATTCAAATAAGGAAAATTAAAAACATATTCATAATACCGGAGTCCTCCTTCAATGAATGACTTCTTTGCAAGCTCTCTGCCCCATCAAAGGGATATAGGGCATTAACAACAACAACAACACAGACCCTCTCCAAATTAATCTATTTTCACCTCAAAATTTTATCAAGCGGAGCGTGTGAAACCGCGCGAAAGTAGGTAGTTTTTTGTAAACGGGAACTGGATCAAAAGGCGACTAGATTTTTTGAAAGACACCAGGCTAGTCTAGTCAGAGTACTAGTACTAGGTACCGGATTAGAGAACATCTTTTTTTTGATAAACATTCTAAGATTTTCTCCTGTATCGTAGGTGCGTTTATAATCATACAAGTTTACATACACATTACACAACCAGACCCGGAACAACAGTTTTGTGGATTAAACAAAGAGTTGTTCCGTGCGGGAATTGAAACCAAAACACGTTGTACGGCAGCCAGTTGCCCAGGCACTGCGCCAACCGTGAAGTCAAGTCAGGTTTATTTAAGTACTAGTTTATAATGTTATCTTATCTAAGGTATGTTATGGTAAACATGTTTATCTTTAACACTACCATGGTTTGATTGATTTAGTCAGCTTATCTTCATAATGTCTGAGTTATATTCACACCAAATATTAGAACGAAATACAGTCTGTCCACAATAAACTCAAAAATAATTAAACCTTTTTTCTATATGGTATTTATTAGTAGACTAGTTGTTGTCGCGATTTCGTGAGCGTAGAATATAATTATCAGAAATAACTCCTTTTTTGTTTCAATTGACTGCACGGTTGGTGCGGTGGCTGGGCACCCGGCTGCCATGCAACGTGTCGCGGGTTCGATCCCCGCACGGAACAACACTTTGGGTGATCCACAAATTGTTGTTCCGGGTCTGGGTGTCATGTGTATGTGAACTTGTATGTTTGTAAACGCACCCACGACACAGGAGATAATCCTAGTGTGGGGCAAGGTTTTTCTTAAAAAAAACTCAAAAGTAATTAAACCATTTTTATGCGGTATATATTAGCAGACTAGTTGTTGCCCGCGACTTCTTTCACGTAGAATATAAATTTTAGAACATAACTTTTGTGATGGTTTAAACATCGCTGGCGATGATCTAGTGTTGAAGCTATTATTAACCCGTCGTGTATCTAAACGTGGATCCGCGTCGCGGAGAACCTAACAGGTAACCGCGGCTCCGGCTCGAAGTGCAGGAGAAGGAACGGGGTGGTTTTTAGTCAGTAAGAGTCTGACACTCGCTCCCGCCTCACCCAGGCGGGAGCGGCCATACGATGATTTTCCCCTCTTAAAAAAAAAACGTGGATCCGCGCGAGACACAATGTATTATCTATTGTGTCTCATATAAAGGCATTCAAGTGGTTGAGTAAACAATCTTCGACCTAATTCTTGACAGATTAAAGTGGCTATTTCAAAAATCGTCAACAACAGCCTCTGTGTGAGGCTACTCTGCAAGATCTTGTTACAGAGCGGCGACCCGCCACATACAATATTCAGCAACTCCTTCTGTAACGTAGTGCTATTGTATTATTTTGTTTTGTATACCACATGTTGCTGTTATATTAAATTCGGTCATGTAATCGAAAAAGATTTGTGGTAAGCCTTTAAATGTTGATTATTTGAGGCGAAGTGACTGCCTCGTTGGCCGAGTGGTCGCAAGTGCCACTGCCGGGCAAGGGGTCTCGGGTTCGATTCTCAGGTCAGGCTGAAGATTATTGGCTTTTTAAAAATTCTCAGTAGTAGCATGGAGTC